CCCCCTCGAACTTCCACCCCCGGCGACGTAATTGAATCACGCTACGGGCCGTCGAGGCGTAAAACGTGGATTAAATACGATGCATACGTAGTACCGAACCATGTTCTGGAGGGCTGGTTGCGCCGGTTCGCGAAACGAGAGGGTGGCAGCGACCCCGCCGACGCCGACGCCGCCGCCGCCGCCACATCGCTGAGTATACTCCAAATATACGCGTATCCCGACCGGCGCACACCGTCGCGGTTATTTTGTGCATTTGCAATCCTTTGACGAGTAATCCGCGGGGGATTGTCGATCGGGCTGGCTAGCTGGATAGGAAGCGGCAGCCAGTCGGTAACCATCGCGATCTTTCGTACGGAACCCGCTAAAATTTGCAGCAGGCGAACGAGAAAACGCGGACACGACGGGGGGGAGATCCGTTTTACTTGGCCGTCCTAAAATCTATTTATAACGTAACCGAGTCTGTTTTTAGCCAACGGCCTTTGACGGCGGGCGTCGCGTTTATCTTCTCGAGCGTGTCGGTGATTATGTGGACACTGCACGTCGATCGGGGAACGTGTGTACGTTTCCTCGAAATCTGCCAAAATCGGCGCAGGCTTGACGCGCGACTGCTCTCTCTCTCTCTCTCTCTCTCTCTCTCTCTTTCTCTCTCTCTGTCTGTCTCTCTCTCTCTCGATAGAGAGACTATCGCCGAACGTTCATCGCTGTTAGGTAGCGCCGTTGCTCCTGTTCTATTTTCCACTCGCCTTTCGGAAGCCTCAATTTCGTTCGGCCATATCGCATCCCGGCGAAAGCGGCGGATCACGGTGAGCGCAGAGAAAGGAAGCCGATAGGAAATTGCGGACACGCGAGAGACAGAGGACACGAGACGACGATGAGAGCAAGGAACCCTGATGAAAGGGCGGGATCGGGATTCGGTTGTACAAATCGAATCGCTTTCACGGCACTTGAGCTTTAACATTTCCCTTTACCGTCCGACATGAAATGATACACTCGAGAGTTTTTCATTTCACCGGCTTATCTTATCGAATGCGCTTTACTTAGACCCGCTCTCGAGCAACTTCGAAAGGTATATCGTGTAATTCAAAGGGAATCGCTGAAACATTACGACATACAGAGAGAATCAAGAGCCCGTTCATAAATACTTGATTTAGTGCATGAAATAGTTACACGTATATAACTATCTTCTGCGGGAAACTGGATAGCCACGGTGCGCACGGAAATTAACGTGGAGAATGACAAGTAATTCTTTCCCTCTTAAGCCCTCACGCTAATTCCTCGGTCTAATTTCTCTCCTGCTGAAAAATCAATTGTCCCAAATCCCAAAGTTCCGGTCTCGCAATTTTGAACACCGCACACCTCGTGGAAGATTAATGTTGAGCGACTAATTTTCCCCTCCTGAAAATGAATCTTTCCAAATCCCGAACTTTATAATGAGCTTCGCTCTGTATCGCGCAACAACGTTCTGCCTCGCGTTTTTTCAGCATCGCGTTTCCGACGCGAGAGGATTGACGCTTGTCCCGCTTATTATAGCCCGCGAAATTCCTCGGGCGTCGGGGCGTCTTCACCTGGAGGATGTTTACGATATTTATGAATGTCGGTGCTATTTTTGGAGGACCTCAAGGATGAAAGAAAAACCATCAATCTCGGTGGCCCAGTTTCGGCTCGTAGGGGGCGGCGCTAACCGAGCGACTCGAGGACTCGAGAATCTCTCTCTCTCTCTCTCTCTCTCTCTCTCTCCGTCCGATGCCGTTTATGAGCGAACTGTTCTCAAACTGTTTTGTAAGAAAGATAAATAGGAGCTTTTGATAAAACTCGCCTGACACACCCGGGCCCGAAGCATTGAATTTCATTATCGTGCGAGTCCTGATTTATCGTTCGCGCGTCCGCCTTGCTCTCAGACCCGTCCTCTCCTCTTCCTCCTCCTCCTCCTCCTCCTCGTCCACCTCCTCCCTCTCTCGCGGCTCTTATAGCGAGCCTGTCGGCGATCTGTTTCGCGAAACGCGATAACAAATTGTAGAAGGTTTACGTGTCCGAGGGCGTCTCGGGCAAAACCGCCCCCGCCGCGCCGCCGTTGGCGACGCGACGAGAATTGCAGCACTCGCATGGCATTTTTCAGTCTGCGGTCGCTGGGCTAGCTTTTCGGATTCTCCCGCGCCGTTGCTTTTTTCGCCATTTTCCAAAATTTCAGACCGCGAGCCGAGCCCCCCCATCAGATGCAATTGCCGTGAGAGCCGGCGGCGTACATTCGCGCGCGTTGAATAATCAAACGAAAAAATTGGCTCGCCGTAAACGTTCGTAGGATGGCCGCGCGACCGACCGCCGTTATCCTCCCAGCGCAAAATCCCTCCTTTCCCGCCGCCCCATCCGTGCATCTTCCGGCGTTTTCTCATAGCCTGTCATAAAACTTTCATAACTTTCGGTATTTCCACGAGCAGCCTTTTGCCAGTCCGCTCGTGCGAGTCGCTGGATACGACGACCCCTCTTCCCGTCGTTCTTCCCTCAAGTAAGGGAGCGCGAAGCGGGAAGGATGAACGGGACGTGTCGGGAGTAAAAATATCAGCCGGTTAACTTCTTACCGGGCTATACCGCAACCGAAGAGCCGTAATTTGAATGCCTCTTTCGGAAGCCGCCAGGTATCGACGAGAGAATTGGACTTTAACTAGCTCGTCGTCCCAACATTGTAAATCCGGCGGATCGGAGGGGGCGCGGTCGTCCGTCAGAGTTGGCGCTGATTATATCGATTATATCCGCGGCTTCGCGTGAACGGACCGCTGCTTTTTTTTTTTTTTTTTGCAGCAAAACCCTATCCTAATTAAAATTTTTAATTGTAATGCGCACCTATATATCGCGCAGCCCGTTATTCCGCAGCGCCGGGATTTTTCAGATATTAACTTCGCTGGCGGAACGTGAACGCACGAGCCGAGTCGCGCCGCCGCCCGCGGCGCAGAGTGCTTCATAAATTCCCAAATAGCCGCCAACAATTCGTGCCATTGGGCGCGGTGCGCAGCGCAGTGCAGCGCAACGCGCCGCTAATCATTCCAAACGCACCGGCTACACCGTCAACGGACAAATATTCCGGTTAAGCGCTCGTCACACCGTCGAGCCGACAATGACGTCCTGATCGCTCGCGATGCGCCGAGAGTGCCGCTTAATGTGCCACACTCGGATGACGCCGTTTAATCGCCGTGCGGGCGCGTGCGGGCGAGTTTTGCAGTCCGCTGCGAAATGCCGAAGGCATCGCGCGTCTCACTTTCGGCAAGACATCGCGAGCCATCGGGCGAATGTACTAATGAAACCTATCGCTGATCGCGGCATCGAGCGTTATCGAGCCGTTATATTTCTCGAACGAAAGCGAAGCGGAGGGGGAAACATTGTGTGCGCGGCGGGTCTCTCGAAAGGGATGAAAGGTGATCCAAACCGACAAAGCGTAAAGTTGGATCGAATGGCCGTGGTATACGGTTTCTGTCGTTACTGTTGCAACTGCCGTAATACCGCGCTCCTGCAGCTGTAGCAGTCGCCGTCTCGCAGCCCATTAAATAACTTCGTGTCTCGAATATCGAAATGGAGCCGTTGGTCGGGGCGGTCGGAGTCTGATCGTTTCGGTCGCGTATTCTCTCGTACAGCGAGAAACTGCGGCTCTCGCGCGCTCGCTCGCTCGTTCTTATAACGATGTTTGTAGCTTTAAACTAGCCGATAAATTAATATTTTGCGCGTGAGTGTATGTGAAGCACGGTTGCGCGGCAAATTATGTCTCCGATCTCCTCTCCTCCGGAGGTCTCAATCCCGGCTGACTCACGGTCGTTTTAGCTCGCGTTAGTCGATCGAGTATATCGTTATTATTGCCGTTTACATAACGATCGCACTTCCACATCGGTTGTGAGGGGCGGCAAGGTGCGAAGGTAAAACACGAGAACGAAAATAGCCGGGAACCCGAGGATAATGTTTTAAGATTTTTACGCTTGTTCGGCCTGGCCGCTTATTTTCGTTTCATTATCAGAGCGAAATGAGAGAGCGCGCCGACGTTTTATCGCTGAAGCGAGTCTCCGGCGATTGTGAAAATACGGACGACGGTTAATAACTCCGAAAGAGATCTCGTTTCCCTGAATTAATTCCGATGCGGCGCGCCCGTCACTTCGCCCGCTTAAAATTAAATCATTACGCGTGAACATATAGTGTACAAAAGAAGAACACGTGGGGGTCATTCGCCGCTTAATTAGCGCTTTTTCACTCAGCGACGTAGCTTATTGCGCCCGGCCCTTAGTCTCAAGGGACGATATCACGCGAGTATCGCATTACAGCGCGGTTCGTTTCGCGGCATTGTATCATATATTTTGCGATCTCGACTCGCGTCCGACTTGTCCGGTCCATGCGAACTCGAATACTCGCGTGTGTCGTCGCGAGCAGCGATCATTCCCCCTCCCCCTCCCTCTCCACCCTAGCTTCCACCGTAGCTTCGTTATTTCGACGATCGATTCGGAAATTCGAATCGCCGCGACGTCGCGCGCTATCTTAAAAGTTAGCCGCCGCTGACCACGAAATGAGGAGTTGCAATCGAAGAGAGCTTGGCGATTTACCGCAGTAATTACCAAAATTACTGCGCCACATAATGACGGTAATTATCGCCGTAATTCGTGGTAATTGCCGCGGCAATTACTGGACTGAAATCCCGAAGACCGGCGGAAAGGCCGGCAGGTGGTTGCGTCGACGTTGGTGATCGTCTTTCCTGCCTTGTCGCTTCGATTTCTCCGCGCGTCTTCCGTTCATTATCGAACTCGCTCGATGGGAGCAAATATATGGAAGGTTTATTAGCCTCATTTGCGAAATTAATCAGAAGATACCGGTCCCCTTGCGCTGTCCTTGCAGCTCCGCTGCAAAAATCTGATTGACCCTTTCGAAAGTTGACCGTTTAACCTCCCGAGCCTCCCCCCCCCTCCCCTCGACGACTTCCCTGTCGCAATTTCACGATGTCTCAACGGTCGCTATTGTTAATTCTGTTGCAGGTCTGAATCGAGCGGAGGAGCTACTTCTGGCGTGCGGTGAGTTATTTGTCAATTCATTCATTTATGCGCGACGAAAAGCGGAACTGCCGTTCATGATTCGCAATTTGGCTTTCAATGCGCCTTCCGCGTTTCTGAATCGGCGGGAAAGCCGATAGAAAAACGAAAATGTCTCTTTCAAATGGGCGCGAGCGACAGGCCTTGAGGCCTTGGAGACCGCGTATTCAGACGCGCGGCGCATCCTCCGCCGGCTACCCGGGACCGAAATCGCCGTCCTCTTTCTCTCCCTAATGACTCGCGAAAAATTTCAATGCCTCCCAACGGCTCGTCTTTTCATGTCGAATAATAAATGACGGCGAACGCGCGGCTGATGAGACGTCGAAAACGCTACGCGAATCGACTATCACGTCGGTCGCTTCTGGCAACCGGGACGATTTTGTATATTCATCATTTTGTGAAAAATATCACTTTCTCTCTCTCTCTCTCTCTCTCTCTCTCTCTCTCTCTCTCTCTCTTCCTCGGCGAAGTCTCGCGACGCAAAGTCTCCCGGGTCGCTGGCGCGAGGACGTTTGAAGACGTTCGTCAAAGCTTGTCACGTGGACAACGTGTCAACCAAATCTAATCTCCCTTTCTCCAGCCATGTCCCGTCTTTAATTTTGCCGCTCGCGAAAATGAGTTTGTAAATTTCTTTATTTCTTTATTTAAAAGTGATGAGTTTGTAAATTGATGGAAGTTTGCGACGTAACAAAGTCCTGAATTCTTGAAATTTCTTTGTCCCACTTGGAGCCAATGGGAACGGAACCTCGTGGATGCGTCTAGTCTTGCGAGATGATAAATTTCTACCCAACATCGCTCAAAAGCAATTCTACATTCCAGTGAATAATCAGTCTATAACGAGCTAGTAACGAGCTAGAAAATGTAATCTAGCCTGTACCAGCTAGGTATTGGCTTTTGACTCAAGTTGGTTAGTTTCTACTCGAATATTCGTGCTACCGTGACAGTTACGTTACATATATACACATATATACTATACACACACACACACACGCGCGCAGGACGTTTCACGAGAAAATAAACCGAAACTATACGGAGCAAAATACTTTTTGCAGCTGCGCTTTGGGGAAAATCGTGTTTAAAAATTTATCAAGTAAACGTGCTCTTGACTAAGTCTCGTCTTCATGGGTCTCAACTTGAGAAACTTCTCTGCCCGTTCGTGCCACACAACGTACATAGGCGCGGACGCATTACCGTATCTCCGAGTCGAAATTTGGTTGCACGTCAACACTTCAGGAGCCGTCGAACTCGGGGAATCTCGCACAAATTATCGTCTCATCTTGACGCTACAAACGGTTACTTTATGCCGAGATTATACTTCAGCATTGCGCTGATTGCTTCATACATGTAGACGCGCAGCTTTGCGCGAGAAGGAAATCTCATCGTCCTTCTCCAATTTATCATCCATCTCCCCCACGAGATGGGGTAACCTATTGATCCGCATACCGCGTCTCACGGTAACGAAATTACGCTGCAACGGCAGAGAATTACTCGCCGCCGTTCCGTTTTCGCCGTTTTTTCCGCGACGTGTGCCGAACGATCGACCGTCCGCGATGTTTCCTCCGAGAAACACGCGGCCGCGCAGTCGCCATGCCGGCTGACCCCAGCTGACCGATCGGTGTCTACCGCGAGCGCTGAAACTTTCCTGAAATTGAGACCGATAGCGCGATATTTATTTCGGTTTCCGATCCCCGAAACGGATCTACCTACGTATAGAGGAAAGGGGGATTCGTCGGCGCCAACGACGACGTAGTCCGTGAGCCATCCCCGGCTCCCCGCGAGACGGATCGCCGTCCTGGGATCGCGTCGTGGAATGGCAGCCCGCAAACTTGCCTTTCCGCCGGGTATCGATTTTCGAGCTAATAAAGTTTGTATAGGTGCGCGAAAGTTGCGCGTCCCGCGGTCGACCGTTCCTCGCACGGCGCGAACTTTTCGCGAAACTTGATTCGCACGAGCGCGCGCCAACGAATTCAGCCCGAACGTTAATTCTCTCTCTCTCTCTCTCTCTCTCTCTCTCTCTCTCTCTTTCGCTTCTTTCGCCTCGTCTCGCGGAGAATGAGTAATGATCCATGGTCTCGGCGGGATCCTATCGGCGTCAGGCCTGCGCCACGCGCGCAATGGAACACGCGGCTAGTTTCTACGACCGAGTCGCGCGACTTGCGCGACGTTTAATGAAAGCCATTGTTCGCCCGGTTTCAACTTGAAGCTCGGAAATTCCCGCGCGCGGCCTCGCAGTCGCCTGAATTTCAAGCAGTGCGCAACTCGCCGCCGCGGAATTTATTGTCATCAGTTTTGCAGCGTGTTCTCCGCTGACAAATTAGACATATTTATACAACACGCCGCGCGAGCTGACTCGCGGGAAAAAACAAAGCGCTCGGTTTATGGCGCGGAAGTTCGCGGCCGACGCGATGAAGTTGCCGCGTGATTTCGATCGCTTAATTGGACGTGAGCTCGGCGATTCGTCCGGCGAACAACGATATTTTTCGCGTTCGTCCCCAAATGTTGCATTTCCCGCGATTGTCGTATAAACGTAATAATCTCCGACGCGCCACGCCGAATTATTGTCCGCCGCTCGCGCTCGACATACCGAATTCATTCGGACAATTCGTTTTTTATTACGCTCGCGCGTTATTATTCTCATTTCGCGGCGGGCAAACACCGTACTGTCCCATCCCTCGCCTCGCCCGTCTCGCAGGGAGGCTCTCGCATCCCCCAACGTCGGGTTTTAATCGTCGCGCATATGCGAAAAAGAGAAAAGATCGCTCGCGTTATTATTTTCCTGTTCGGCGAAGCGATCGCCTCTCTCTCTCTCTCTCTCTCTCTCTCTTGTCGTCGCTGCCGCGACGTTATCCCCGAAATTGCGGTGCGTGCATACGTCTCGCGTGCGTCGGGTCCCACGTGCGCGTTTTCCCAGATGCACACGCACGCACGCACGTGTGGTTTTCTATGAAGTCGGTTTCTATGAAGTCGAGCGCCGCCGCGTCGGCTTTTCGCGCGGATTATCCCAACGCAATCCGCGCGCGGGAACCGCCGAGTATCCCAGTGCGAGTGACTGAAAACCGACTATTACGGCATCGGCTCGGGAACGTCGCGCGAGAGGGCTAACGTGCTCGGCACGCAAAGTGAAAACACCGGTATAAGCAGCGCCCGGTGACTTTCCGCTCCACGCTGACGATAAATAAAACATGTCGCCTGATGCTGAAAAACGCGCGATTGACGGCGGACGAGAATCTCGTCCTTCCCCCTTTCGCCCTCTCTCTCTCTCTCTCTCTCTCTCTCTCTCTTCTCCAGCCATTCCAAAGTACTCGCGCGTGCGGGAGTATTCATCACACAACGATGCCGTGCGCCAAATGAATTACGAAGAGATTTCCTCCTACGCGACCGTCCCGGTGCGCTCTGGAACCGGATATGCATAACGCACGAATGATCGAGTTAACCTTTTAATCGCATTTTTTCCATCCGCGTGCTCGGAACGAGCGTAATAATTTGTTGATTTTGGCGCGAGTCGTTGCGGAACGATAACCAATTAACGCTGGATATATCGCGTCGGCTGTAATACCGGATGAGATTACGTGTGACGCGCGCGCACAGAGGCAAAGCCATGCGATGCGCGCGATGCGCGCATTCGGTAAGTACGGCAGCGCGCCGCGCTCTCTTGACAGTTTTTACCCAGAGTACTCGGCATCGAAATGTAAAATTCAGCTGGCACGGCTGGATTTTGCGCGCGAGGTGAGCACGCCCGCGTTTGTGTAATATTAATTGCTATTAATTGGTATAAATATTATTACGCCGTAATAATCGCTTGATTATTCATCATTTGTGCGCGCCCATTAGTCGCGAAAGAGTCGCGCATAGAGTGCACCGGCGCGTATAAATAATAAAACGTGATATGCATTCGCGTGCTGAATAGCGGGAGTTTGCCCGTCGCCGTTATAGAATTAGCGCGAGATTACTTGCGCGGATATCCATAGCGAGACGACGCGCCCCTTTCACGGGGGATTCGCGACGCGAAAGGAGCGGTAAACTTGACGCGCGAACAACGCGTATTTTCGCTCTGCGGGCTTTCGCAGAATTTTCATCTCAGGCCTGACGAGAAATAGAGAGAGAGAGAGAGAGAGAGAGAGAGACACAGAGAGAGGAGAGCTCGCGCTCGCATCGGAGCGGCTCGAAAAATAGTTTGCACGCCGGTTACCTTCATTTTCTCATTTGCGCGGTTACGTCGCTGCCTTGCTCGCGCGCGTTTCAATGACAAAGTTATTAAATTCCTCTCAATAGTGCTTTTCGCGTGAATGACCATTATTCATTGAAGATTTATTCTGCTCTCCCATTGAGATGCACTGCTGCACGTATATCGATTCTCGACAATAGAGCGGACTGAATTCGTTCGAGATTATAGGGGTTCGTAATAATAGTACTATCACACTTTATAAATACGCGCTTACACACACGTGCATATAAATACATACATACATACACACATATGTTACTCACGAGCGATCGCGTTGCTGAACTGTACACACACATACACGCGCGAGAAGGCCTTGTGTTTAGATTTATTTAGAATAAAATTATTTTCTCACTGCATACGCAACACCGTGTTGCGCGCGAAATTTTACGCGAGATTGAGCATGAAGAGAGAGAGAGAGAGAGAGAGAGTGAGAGAGAGAGAGTGAGAGAGAGAGAGAGAGAGAGAGAAAGGGGAAGGGGGGAGAAAGAAGAATTGTGCCAGGAATAGGCAAGTGGCGGGCACAGTCGTAATTCATCAGCATTAAAAGAATGTGGGCAAACTTTTATCGGAGTTGTTGACATGTTCGACCGCCGACTGAACGGGTAAATACGGTACACCAGTGACAAGGCCGTGTCAATGAACTCTGCAAAAAGACACGGGGATAGTGGGAGCGGAAACTTTTCTCGAGTGATTCGTGAAAGCGGGAATAAATGACGGCGCGCAATTTCAGAGGAGGGGTTACGTGGGTGGCAGTGCG